GCAAGCGATTTTCTCGTGCCCCACTCCTATTTTTCTCGTTCCCTCCCATTCGTTTTTATCCCACATTTTCGAATTACCGTATTTTCCGTTTCTGTATCGACAACCGAACAATTATCTACGTTAAACTGACAAGGAAATCTCACGACCTTCGGAATACCAATTTCGTTCAAACTTTGTACGATTGTAGAGTACATCGAAAGTCACCATTTTGCAAAATCATAGCAACTTTCAGAAATAAGAAATTTCGCAGTTATCAAGTACTTTAGCTTAAAATCGCTGGATTTATTAATAAACGTATAATTTGATATTAAAAATAAGTGAACGATAAAACGTAATTGAAACATTCTTTACTTCGATAAAAATCAATATGGACTTCAAGAGAAGCATTTTAGTTTAAAGTAAAGAACTTGTAAACTGGTCATTTGACCGGTTTGGTAGTTTTAGTGCTAAATCGAGTGCTGTGAGACTCACGAGATTTATGTAATTTGCTGATAATAATTAAAAAATACAATTTTCAGATTCGACTGAAAATGAAATGGAAGAAACATGTATTTGCTTAAATTTTCTGTAAAATAAAGAAAATTTATATTTCTCATTTTATTATATTTTAAAGAGTCTAAATTAGGAACTCTTTGAATTTTAAATAAGATTAAATTATTTGATGTGGATGTAATTTTTCAAACTCTATTTTAATATAATTCAATATAAATAATAAACCTTAATTTTTTCTCGATTAAAATTAATTTTGCAATTCTACAACCAGTTCACTTGCACGCCGCTATTAAAATTAAAATAATAAATCTTCCAAAATATTTTGAAAATTTAATCTCATAGTTGAACTCATTAGACTAGTAAAATACTGTAAAATTGTAGTCTTGGTAAGATAAGAGTTTCTACAAATTCTTTATCAGCAATTAAGTGGTTATTACAATTTTTATGATCTGTACATCAGATAATTACAACGGTAGACTTCCCGTGTGTTATTCGTATATGGTTATTTTCTCAATAAAAGCATGTCTTATTAATTTTTATGGTTTTCTGTTATTCCGAAAATAAAACGGGAGAGAAAGGCACAAGTGGTGGGAAACGAAGAAAAAGAAAAAGAATTGCTGCTAGACAGAAAAAAAGTGGATAGTAAAAGATAAGAGAATAGTTAAGCGCATAGTACAAGGGAATTAAGTTTCTCACGTTAAAAATTGAAATTATTTGAACGATACGATAGATGCAGATTTCTCTTAATGAACGTTGTTTCGTTATTTAAATCCAGCAGGAATGTAACGCAGGTAAAATGTCAGACTTTCGTTCGAAGTTCCTTGATCGAAGATAGTGTGTCTACGCGTTAGATTCCACAGTTCGACCTTCAGTTTGATAACGCTAGGATAACGTTTCGACGAACGTGCATTGATCATCGCAAGCATAGCGAACTTAACGAAGTCAAGTGAAATTTTACGCAGTGAAATAGAAGCTTGCAATAAGACTATTTTTTACACGATTTTGAAAACAAATTTTGTGTAATTTTTAATAAAATCAATTTTTATGATAAATAACAACAAAATTGTGAAAATAGGTTTGTTATTTGCTTTATGTTTTTTGTACACTAAAAATATTTATTTTTATGATACAAATTGAATCACATACTTTATACAAATTTTATGATATTTTCGGGAGGAGGAACAACATAAAAAATTATTTTTGCAATATTTTTATATTATTTCTAAGTTAAAGGTTTTTTATTTACTGACAGTAAAAATGAATTCCTAAAAATTGATTTTGGTCAAAGTAGAATGTCTTCTTAAAGGGATTTAACATTTACAAATACACTAAATTTTAAAATAAAATATAATAAAATTTTTGAAAAATTTTTATATTATTTCTAAGTGAAAAATTTTTTCATTTACTGGCAGTAAAAATGAATTCCTAAAGATTGTCTTTGTGGTCAAAGTAGAATGTCTTCTTAAAGGGATTTAACACTTTTAAAAATACATTACATTTTAAAATAAGATATAATATAATTTTGTTTGTAATATTTTTATAATATTTCTAAGTATTATAAAACATCGTTTATTTACTGGCAATAAAAATGAATTCCTAAAAACTGACTTTGCGGTCAAAGTAGAATGTCTTCTTAAAGGGATTTAACACGTTTCCAAATACGCTATATTTTTTAAATTTTATTGTGACATGTATATGTTACATGCAGAACACATGATTATATAGTAGACTTATCAATAATACATTTTTCATCAAGCGCTACGTATGTATAACAGGGTAAATAACTTTAAACTATGACCTGTATACTTTTACGATTTCCCACCTACCGATCATATGCATTATCGCAAAATTATAATGCTGTATTTTGAAGTATACATATGTATGAAGGTATCTTCCGTTAACCGAAGTGCGTCCTTATTAAAAAAAATTATTGTACATATACATTAGGAAACCCTTACACCTAACGGAAGCTATATTCATATACTTTAAAATAATTTTGCAAGTATAATTCTCGAATAATGCATGTAGGTACAAAATCATGCAAGCGTGATTTTTTAATCGGTTTCAGAGCCATCTGCTATAAGGAGAGTTTGCATGAAAAAAGTTTGTCTAGTGGAGACCTTAGGTGATCATATATTGTCAATACTAATGGTTAATATAAATTTCTATATAATTTTCTTAATTTTTGTGTTACTAAAGTGTTAAGGACCTAAGTCATCAATGTCTCTAAATTCAGAAATTCCTAAATAATCTAATATTCAAATTTTTTAATCTTAAAATTGTCAAATTTTGAAGTTTTAAAACTTCAGATTTCCAAACTCTCAAGAACATAAATTTCTAAATTCCAAAATTGTGAAATTTCCAAGTTTATAAATACTCAAATTCCTAAGTTATCAAATCTCTAAATTCAGCGATTTCTTAATGTTCTAACATTCAAATTTTTAACTCTCAAAATTGCTAAATTTCCAAACTCTCAAAATCATAAATTTTTAAATCTCAAAGTTGTGAAATTTCCAAATTTATAAATACTCAAATTCCTAAGTTATCAAATCTCTAAATTCAGGGATTTCTTAATATCCCAACATTCAAGTTTCCAGCTTTCAAAATTGTGAAATTTCCAAATTTTAAAACATTAAATTTCCAAACTCTCAAAATCATTTCAAAAATTTCAAAGTTGTGAAATTTCCAAATTTCTAAATACTCAAATACCTAAGTTATCAAATTCCACTCCTAAGTACTTAAATCCTCAAATTTTCAAATCTTCAAAATAAAACATTGCCAAGTCTTCAAATTCCAAATTTACCAATTCCTAAATCCACAAATTAAATCCTCAACATATATATCAATAGATCCCTAAAAAATGTACAATATACTGCTCCTTTAACATCTCCACAATATAATAAACATACAGTTATTTAGAAAATTGAGTATACACTGGCTGAAGTCTTATCTGTTCAATTAACGGAAAGGAAAATATTTTCCCGCAACGTGAAAACAATTAATCATTAATTAACAACTCAAACATTTGTATCACTTTATTAATCAAAACAGTACATTTTAACGTCACGTTGTGCAAGTTTACATTCAATTACATTAAAAATATCATTTTTTATAAATATTGCTCTTACAAAATTAATATAGAAACTTAAAGGAATCGTTGAATAACCATTGTACAAATCCTTATATGGGAAAAATGGTTATTATTAAACGATTCTTGTTCAATAATGCACTCATTTATTGGTTTCTTATTAATTGAGCAAATAAGTTTCTAGTACTAATAAATAAGACTAATAATAAGTTTATAGTACTTTCAGTTTTCAAAGCGTAAGTACGAAGCATTACATATAGCATGTACGCATCACAATAAATTCACAAGAACAACGTATTTTTAAGGCCGTTAGAGTATTAAGTCCCCTTAACGGGTTCACATATAACACGGAACGTTCATATGCAGCGCGTTACAAGAGAAAGAAGTTGGTGGCACGCGATCGAAGAAAATCCCCAGGCACAAGAATCTTGCGTTGAGGAGCACTGATCTGCAGTTGTATATCGTTGTGTTACCTCGATGGTGGGGATGGAGGTGAAGGGTGCAAGAGGAGGACGCGGAGGGGCTCAAGGCCGGTCACGCTGTCAAGCTAGAAAGCCTGCGCGCCGAAATATCAACATGACTGTCCAACTCGGTTAGCCTTGCCTGCTGCTCCGATTACCTCGCCGCGTTCGTAGACACGCGTTTATATCGTGTTCCAAACGCAATCGGCAGAAATCATGAAAAATTCGTGTGAATTCCTTTCGTAAAAGTAGAAAAAGACAGGCGTTAAATCGGCACAAAATAAAGGAGGGAGGGAGGGCGGAGAGACTAAATCGCGAGGCAGAGAAACGGAAGACACGAAGTTTTGGACAGGTGGTACGAGCTACGGAGGCTGACAGCTGATAGTTCGTGACTCTTGTATCGAGGGAAGTTACGAAACTCGTTACCACGGGAAAGGCTACGAACACGGCTTACAGGAAAGAAGTGGAATATACATCGGTGTGCGGAGCGTGCGTGTCGAATGCCTCCGCGGCTCGCTGGCAAGAAAAAGAAAGAGGAAGGACATAGAGAGACAAAAGGGACAACCGCTGAAAGGGAAAGACAGAGAGAGATCCGAGCGATCGGCGATCGATTGATCCGCGATTAAAATTCGCCGACTGTTCAATTATCGGGTGGACCACTGTCGTCCGATAACGCGATAAAATGATTTTCTATCAATGAAAACACGTTTTGCAGAAAAGAAAGACGTAAGGGGAATGAGATAAGATGAGGAGGGGGAGAAGGAGGAAGAGGAGGAGAAGCAAAAGAGACGAGAGGAACGATGAAAGGAAAGGGGATAACGAAAAGGAGGAGGGAGTTGAGGGGTCATCGAGAAACATAACCTCTGTACGCGTAACGACGACCGACTACTCTACCCAAACGATTTTAGACTTTACCTTCGTCTCTGATATACTTACTTCCGCGTACCCGCGTTTCTTACCTTATGCTCCGTGCAATTCGACGCCTGTGACGACGATCGTCCGAAACTTTCCTGTTCACGGACAGCGTCTAGGACACAACACTCTTGACAGTTTTCCACGATGATGTACGTTGCTGATACAGTTCTTTTTTTGATTGGCACACGAGGACAGATAGACCGATAGATCACACAACACTACCGACACTTTCGATACGCGACACTACGATTAACCTACAATCGGGCGTCTTCGTACGAAGTAACAGGCAATTGTAACAGGCTTGGCACACCTTCGCGTCACGTTACAACGAGTTACAACGAGAGCCACAGGCAGCTATAAGCACGGGCTACCTCGAACTCTCCGTCTCCGTCTCTGCTGTTGACTGGTGGCTACCTCACCACAAGCTCGTCTCGTACCTGTGTCTCTCTTTCTCTTTCTTTCTCTTTCTACGCTCGTGTGCGCCAGCCATTAGTACAGTGCATCGCCACCAGATGCTCGACGTTGCTGTGGCCGTGCGTCGATGTATGTGATGTAGTTGAATCTAGACTGGAAATTGATTTGAAATGGTACTTGAAACGTGTGTACAAAATAACAGAAACTGGAGCAACCGTTTCAAGTGAACTTTTTTTACACTGTTTTATCAACCAAGTTAAGCAAAACGAAGTAACAAATTACGGCAATGCTACAGGATAAAACAGTTTATTTAGATAGTTCTCAGATAATTCGTATTTACGATTTCTTTTCAAATCAAATGGATACTATCCGAGGAAGTGTTTGAAAGTAATCTTTATTTCGACCAATAAAAGGAATATAACAGAAAAAATATAAATTGTATATTCTTCCGAATGAAAGACGCTAATAAATTATAACTGAAATATTTGGTTATAATAAATTATTAATGTCGATTCTCAACTAACGTGTTTTAAGCAATTAATTCGTTTGTGATCGAAATTTGACGAAAGATTGTTGGAATGTCAACGTCGGTTAAAAGTTAACCTGTTTAATTAAACGTTCGGCTAAGTACACTGAATTTACTTTCCAAATGTTTTAGGAGAAGTTAACGATGTTTATAGGACAGATTATGCTTGATTGATTCAGGAAGAAAGTTTGATGGCTAAGTGTAATTAAAACGTTTCTAAAACGAACAGCATACACATTATCCGACAGCTTGATTCCAATATGGCGGATGCATGATTTAGTCTAACCAAAGGCGTCGCCACTAAATCAACCTGATGTCTGACTCACGCTCCTGTATCGCTTGTTTAAACCACTTTTATTTTTTAAATTTTGTTACTTGCTTTGTATTGTTAATTGTTGGACGAATGATGTCATAAAGCATAGGAAAATGTTTTTGTACATTCATTTTATTTTTGGCACTTTTTTATATTTTTATTTGATAAGTTTGTTTCAAATTTGAGGAATTTGTTGAAAAAGGATCATGTACCACGATATAAGTTTACATAAAAATTAATTTTCTCTTCATTAGGATATAAGAGCTGGTTATTGGTACAGAAAAGTAACAATCGGTTGAGATGTGACACATATCTTTCATTCAGTGAGCTCTTCATTTGTCAATTTGGCTACAAGTTAATTTTTACTTTGTATCTCAATAAAAATTGTAATTTTAATATCTGTTACACAGGAATTATTAAGAAGTATACTTTTACTTCTTAACACGATATCTTTCAAATTGTTATCAATATTTGCATCAGAATACAATTTTATGTTTAAAGGTAGATTTATAAGTTTTCCTATAAGTCTATATAATGTTACAAATTATTTTCTCTGAAATCACAGCAAATACTGATTTTACTTTTATTTAAATTAAGTGGATCAGAATGACTAATTTGATGTATAAAATATTATTTTAAGGAAAATGCAAAATAGTCAAAGAAGACTCCCCTCTTTTTTTAAATGTAAGTATATACGTTTTAACATAGATTGTATTATTCATTGGAGGATTTTATAGAGTATTCAATGTGAAAATATATTAAATTTACGAGGACGATAACCGCAATTATTTTCGCACCAACTTATTTGCATTAAATACTTCAATTGCGTATACAATACAAATTTGACTAATCTGCATTCTTATCAGTAAAAGCAAATGTGAATAATACCAACGAAAGGAAATTTAAAACTACATTTGAAATTACAATTATTTCTTCTTCATAATCGTTAAATCAGAAATACTTAAATCGAAGGTGTTTATTGAATGTCTGATATGAAATTTATTTGTGCATCTTTCTTCTCGTTCTTGTGCAATAACAGCGGAAACTCGCTGAAATTTAACCATGTTCAAGGTAGAAGTACCTTTTTTTCTGCGAACGAGAACATTAAGAGGAACTTGAGTCTCTTCCCCATTTAAAAAGAAAGATAAGATTACGGTTATTATAAGGTTCGATTGACGGCATAAGTCAGGTAAACGTGAATGATCGTGGTTCAACGCTCGAGACTAACCGGGGTCACCAAAGCATTTTCCTTTAGCTCTGCTTGACAGCGATTGGCATCTATAATAATTCTCGGCAGCGCGGCAAAACAGTTGCGGAATGCATTTGATTCGAACCCGTTTGAACGCGTTTCAGGAAACGTGAGCTATAGTCCTTTCCAACGTGACACGAGCCTTGATTTGATCTTTCTCGTTTCACCCTTTTATTGTTCAATTTATTACGTGCCCCGTAAAGTATTCAAGGTGTTGAAATGAATCGATTCTATACGCAAACTGAACTTGAATGTCCGAAACAAAATTCTAGATAAAAATAACCTGGAAAATTTGCATTTTTTAAGTATTTACTTATTAAGATATACTATGTAGCTTTGGAAGCATTTACAAATTTCTACAATTTGATGAATTGTACATTTTTCATATCAAATCGATTTTTCATAATAAATTGAAAATTCTTTAGGGGAGAAAAATATAAAAATTTTTCCCGAAAAAAAATTTGTATGAACTTATTTAACTTTGAAAGATATGATGATAAAGAAAAATATGTCAAGAACAATGATGTATTTTAGTGGCGTGCTCTTATACCATTAATCAGTGGTATGATTTCATTAGATCTGTATCTTTTTAATTGCTTTTTATCATATCGTTAAATCTTTATAGTTGCGATGGGATCTCACTGCGCGTGGGGAGAACACTTCATTCTTTTATTTAAATATCAGTCACTTATGTTGGTTTATACATTAAAAAATTATATTGTTTCTAACGTACACTCATATTTTTGTATGTCGAAAATGTATCCTACTGAAACTTTATCTCACTGTAAAAACGACAAAACTGAAATTAAAATTGAGGAAGATAAACCTAAAAACTTATTGATTAATCTTTCCAAAGTTTTTTTGACAATTTCAAAATAATGATAAGGGGTAAAATTCACTGAGCTAACTCATCAAAACTTTTTTGTCTTCAAGCTCATAACTGTATTAGATTATAGTGCTTCATTTGTTAGTAGAACAGGTTGTCAATGTACAGGCGTACAACTTTTTGATATCTTGCCAAAACCGTTCATCTTCAGTTATATAACTTGCAACATAGTTATACAATTTCCCTTTCTCATAAGAGTATTATTTATGTCAAAAATAACAACTTAGTGAAAAAATAATTTCTCCCCGATTTTTTACAGGAAATATTCATTATATAAAAATACTGTTCTAAGATCATTTGAACAATACAGAATAATATCAGTTTCCTGAAATACTAAAAGGCTGACTAAGAACAAAATGGAGGTAGATAATTAGTTAATATCTCGGTTGATAAATGTGCGCTCCGAAAATACGTGTGAATCGGGGCATACCCCTTTCACTCGGATTAATCAGCCCCTTATTCCTCGTACGTGCTTTCTTATAAAGCACGCACAGTACTTGACGGGTTAATTTGATGTTATATTGCCTTCTATCCATAATCTGATTGATTACAGCCGAGAATCCAAACGCTTTCAACTTTCACTTGCTTCGTTTAAAAATATATTGTCTCCTGATTGCTTCCATCATCGATGCCATCAGATCGATTTTATTTTTATGACAAAAGCGACGCCATAGAAACTCGCTCAGGTGATCGGCAAAATTCTCATGATGGAAGTGACCTCTTTCTCTCAACCATTTCTTTGCCGGTCGCCATTTAGACTCTAGTTTGGTGTGGGTGCCATTTTATAGTCAAATTACTTAAATCTAATGGAGAAGAAATATCAACACATAATTCAAATTGCAACGTAACAGAAATTTATTAGAAATTAAAGTTATATACCCGCAAATTCCGTGCTTGTGATTTATTATATTTGTATATCTGCAGTTCCGCATAACTTTCGTATGGATTGCGGCCGGTAAAAACACTTTCTTCTATGAGTGAAATTAACGTTGACATTTCTCGATTATTATCATTCAACAGTCATTAGTCGTGGTGTCTAGCGTTTCTATTACCCTTTACTTCTCTTGTTGCGCTTGTACTTTCGTTTTATAAATTTTTCTTCGTCAATTTTTTTAAATATGGTTCTTATGAATTGAATAAAAAGACTTACACTTTTGAACAAAATTTCACCTTAAAGTTTGTTCTTTTTTGTGGAGGAATATTCATAGTATACACGACGTGTTTATGGAGTTGAAGAATTGAATTAATATAAACTAAATATTTTGTGTAAATATTTAGGTTGGACGTTTTTAATAGAAGGGAAAAATCAATAGCAATAAGGGATTTTTAGGATGAATTAATTCACAGGAACTAATGAAAATTGTAATATTCAAATGGAAAAATAACTAATGTACAAAAATAGGAATATCGAACTTTTACAACGAATTGGAGATAAGAATCTCTAATTTAACGAATTCCCAGTTTATATGTACAAAAAATGTTCTGTTAATTCTCGACAGACAACCATGCCGATATTATTGCGGTCGTTGTTAAAGTAGAACCCTCTTTTAACGCGAAAACACGGTATGCTGCACTATCGTACGAGAAATCTTGTGCAAGTCTTAAAAAACTGAATAATTTGTTAAATAGTTTGACACATGTATTTATTATTTATTGCAACTGTGAAAACATAAAACTTATCGGACAAGGGCTGTTGACAAAGTTTTGAAATTTTCAATGTTCCTAAAAATAAATATAATGGAATTATGTCACGGATTAATGTTTGATACATAGCTTTTTATCTTCCTTTTATTTTCAGTAGATACATACATGTAGAAACCGAACAATCTCGAGTGACAGAAAAATATCGCTAGGCGATACAATGGCGTGAGAAATTTCACAGCAAAAGATCAACGATAGTATACATTTTATTAGCTATTTTATTATGTACACGTATAGGACGCAATTCTCGTGGCTACAATTTGTTTTAACACATTCTGTTCCCAGGTAACAGGTGCAGCGGCCGCGATAAAAGGTCGTAAATTAAATCATTAAGTGGTAAATTAATCCATTTCAAGATTCCATATTCCACTTTACGTTTCAATACAGGGATACACTCTACAAAACACTTCTTTGTGCGACCGTGACATGGTACTTTTTATCCTCCCTTTTGGAGTTGCATTTTTTCACATTTGTGCGATTTTACGGCCCCTTTAAATATCGCCGCCTCTTTGCGCTGCTTTTTAAGACACAGTTGGTACGGAACGTGTTAAAAACAACCGTAAACTTGGCACAGCTCGTCAGACGAAGGGGTGTCATTAAGTTAAAAAGACGTTATTAGAAATCAAAAGGATTGTAGTTTCACTCTAGTCAAATGGACTTTAATTTTCTGAATTCTCTTAATTTATTATATCTGCTGTGGGAAATTTCTGAATTTATTAAGTCTAATATATGTTATTGTTAAATGTCTAAAAGTGAACTTTTATTCTATCACAAGTACATTTAAAATACAATGCTTTAATTTCCTCTTCATCTTATTTTCAACTTTTTGTTTTGAGAACAAACTAGTTTTTGTTCTTTTGTAACTGACCCTCTGGCGAAATTTTCTTAAGTTAAAATTGAACACAGCTGACTCATTTCTCAATCTTTCCTTCAATCATTTTCACGCTTTTATTCTATAAAAATGAGATCAAATTATTGGAAGAAAATATAAAGTACACGTTTAAAAATACATATTCCTCAGGTATGAATAGAAAGTACTGTAAACGAGTCCGATCTTTTATCTCAATGATACCCCTGCAGTCAAACTCAATACTGTAATCCAACTGACTTGTTACTGTTCCGAATGTTTAATTCAAGACCGGTGACAAATATAACACCGTATCGTCGACAAAAAAACATTTATCTAAAAGAAAGTTAGCATCAGTAGTCTTTCACTTAAAAGACGCCAAGGGCACTTCTTGCATGTAACATCTCGATTGCTCTCGCAACGGCAGTAAATCTAGCTACACGACTGCATTTCCTTTTGTTCTATCGAGGCACAAGCGTCAGGTACCTGCTATCCATCGAAACCTCTGTAAATCATCGCGATTCATTTATTTCCTGATCCGTGGTGGTATCAGATTCGTTGGTGTCGGTGTTGGACTGCTACTGCAAGATCTGCTCAATGCCCGATGAGGCTCGACGCTTAGGAAACTCTTGTCAGCTGCGCCAGTTGGTGGAGCGGAGACTATTTCCGGTTCCGCTGGACTGGGACATCGTCTTTGTGTACAGCTTGATAAAGAGCTTCTCGATAATGTCTGCAGCGGTATTTGGTAGATTCTTATTGGTTTCCAATCTCCGTGATTGTCTGCAAAAGTATAAGGTATGCGTATAGACATATCATTTGACAGATCTAGCATAACCAAGTTGTGATTTACGAGTCACGTTTAGCTATACTGACTTTCCTTCTGTATTGTAGACCAACCTTCATACCTTGCCTCTGCTATTTCTCGATATTAAATTTTCGAGTTACATATGTATTTATGTTACATATAGTGACTTGCAAACCGATTCGTGGGGATTGATTATGGGGGGAACTAAACCAATTGGTAGTAATGTGCAGCTGTTGTCGGGAAGACACTTGATCATGCTTTAGGTTCTGACCGTTCTGATTTATCGTGTTTTCATTACGCCATGAAGCAGCAAGAAATGAATCGTTTTTAGTAGACGGTACATACTTTGTAGATTAGATCGAGACGACGAAGATTGTGCGAAAGGAGACGGACTGGAAACCGGTTCTTCTTTGTCCGGAGGCTTAGTGTCCAAACGAATTCTTTCGCATTTGCCTGGTAGAAATTCCGGGGCCGTCGTCGAGAAGAAGATATCCTGTTTGGATGTGATTAAATTCAAATTGGGCATTGCGATCGTGTGCACTAGGTTTCCATTGATTATTAATCGTATCTCCATGGTATCGTTGGTGAAGGCAATCACGTAAGGGAAGGCACAAGCTGAAAATTGAACATTACTGAAGTAAACGCGTTATTTGTTGATCAGATTATTGCGCGAAGGAAAATTTAGGTTTACCTATTGCGGCCGGCACGGAATTCCAGTTGAAATCGAATTCTGTTGGCGCGGTACTCTCGTCCAATATCTTTTGAAAGTGGCAGGTGTCTGTGCAGAGACGTATCGAAATAATACATTAATTTTTAAATTATTAACATTGTACAAATGTTTTTCTTCTGTGGAAAAAATTTGTGATCATCAATGAGAATCCCTCTAATGTAAGACTGGTTTTTAAAATATACCTTAGAAACCTCAAGAAGTTCATCAAGTAGAAAAAAGTAAAGAGTAGATGAGGCTAAAAATATTTCATGCATTCAGAAACAATACAATATTATTGCATCGGGAACCATAACAGAAAGTGAGCCAAATTGTACTGTTTATAAAAGCTGTTCACATACTATTATAACAAAGTAGTAGTTCGGGTTCCTCGTCCTCGCACAGGTTCAACGCAGCCACCAGATGAGGTTTTGGTGTTCCTTCGATGTGAAGAATTCTTGTGCTTCCAGAAGCGGAGATCAATTCAAAATGGTGTCGTACGCCACAGCATAGCGTCCATTCATTATTTGCATCCATGCTTTCAATTATTGTCACTATAGAGGGGGTTTCGGTTACGTTGAATTCCTTCACGAACAGAAAACCGTCGATGGTGTCCGTGTCGGCTGCAGAACACCATGCAGTCCACGCTGCGCTGTGTTTCCATTGAAGAACCGTTAAACGCCGTCCAACTACTACACACTGAAATCACATTACCTGGAAATTAGTACTACCTACAACTAATACTAATTTCAAAAGTAAATTCAAACGTGATTCAAACATAAACTGTTTCATACAACACCCACAGTCTTTTTGAAAATATGAGTCTGTAAAAATAATTTTTTTAGCGTATAAAATATGAAACGTACCATACGCAAATGGGAGCCACCAGGCATAGTAATACTGTATAAATTACATCCTCGTGTTCGCGGTAGTTTTCTCTCTTTTATATGTGCCCGTCCTCTTACAGCCAATGGTCGAACACGAACGTGAGTACGACGAATGACGGGTTTGAATTTCGCAGTGGCTCTCGTGAAATTGTCACAGTCATCGTCTTCGCTCTCGTCCACGTCGTCCTCGGCAGTTTCCTCTTCGCCGTTGTGTTCGTGATCCTGATCATCCTCGCGGTTATTCATTACTTCAGCAACTCTATTCATCGTAGTGTTTTCAAACTCTTTTAAACGAAACACGTAGACGTGGCTCTCTTTCCCTTTTTCACCGGTTCGAAAAAGTAAGATGCCGTGCTGCTCTACCACGTCTAGCTGCTTAATCTGCACGGACTCGTCGAAGATCAGTCTGTGCGATAGGCTGTCTGAAATAATACTTGAAATGTAGCTTCTGAAGATACTAAACTAAATACAATTCAATAGTGTATGTTCATTGGAACTTGTAGCGCTTGAAATCATCCATGGGTGGCTAATGATATTTCATAATAAACCTTGTACAAGACGTCACACATTTAAATTAAGTTATTAAATATTTATTTAAATTAAGTCGAACATTGTTACCGAAAGCAGCAATAAACTGATGGGAGCTTATATGGTAGGACGTACATTTAAAATCCATTTAATTTTTATCAGAATTTCGAGAGATATGCAGATCTCACCTTCCACAAGGAACGTGCCATTTTCGCTGGCAAGAATCAGCTTGTTATCCAACCAAACGTCACCGCAGGCAACTTCATGGGGGAAGTCCGGATAAATGCACCGTGGTTCCCATGGTCTGGGTTTCAACGGACCCGCTGTGGCCAAAGAAGTTGGTGCGAGACCTCTAACGATCGCTTCCAACTTCAAAGCCTGGCCAACTTGCACCATCTCCACAGCCCGTGTCTCTTCGCGACGTCGACCTGGAGCCTCCACCACGTCCGACAGTGTTCGTCGGTTTAACATGCTCTGCGAAAATTCGACCGTGTTTCTATTCTACGGGAGGAGAGGGATCAGATACTAAACTAAAGTTCTTTCTGTTTTAATTTTCTTCTACATCGATTGCTCGTAGCTGAAACGCTTACGATCGGGCGTAGTCAGGTTAGGTTAGGTTTAGTTAGGTACAGGTATTAGTGCAAAATCGGTAAATTATTTTAGAAGGATTTTACTTTACCATAAAGGATACTAACTGTGAATTATTTCAATTTTCATTCAGGGAGGAACAAAATGCAACTTTCTCTCTAGCGTAGGGGTAAAAGCTACTTCTTTTTCTTCTACGGAGGTAAGCACTACTGTCTGACGCTTCCTGACTACGCCTACGAGTAAAAAATTCTGGTACATCTGCTTGAAATTTCTCGGAAAGGAAATTTTCTAACTGGATAGGTGCTTTCAGTGAACAAGCTTACATTGCTCTTACTCTCCTGGGAGTGCTCCTGGTACATGTCTCGTAGCAGGGCGTCCAGCGTTCTCTCACGCTTCTGTGCGAACGTCGGAGTGTTGAATGTGGCCTTTTCTCCGTTTATTAGTTTCACTAGAAGGAATTCCCTCAAAGTGTAAGGATCTTCGAAGACTGGCGGACAGGGAAGACTGGGTCCAAATAGGGGTACGTTTTCGTCGCAGTAGATCGCCACTCGCCATCCCCTGCTTGTTTCTTCGGCTGATACCACGGCGAATACGTCTGTACGTTGATAACATTAGAGTGATTTACAAATTGTTATCGACCAGATGAATTAATAATTTATCCTTGTCAAACACAATTGAATAGTCATGAAAGTTTCACTTTGCTACTATGTAACTTGAAGATTGCGATAGGTTTCTGTGTGTTAGGTTACTTTTTTATGCCTCATACAGTATTTTTATATTTATGGTTTTAACTATGAGTATCACAAAATTAGAACAGTATTTATTATAAAATTGTGTTGTCAATGGGTTCGTGTTTAACGCATTTAAAATTGATGTTAAACTATCTACTAATCAATAATATTTTTATTTGAACAAACCTTCTGTAATATTCATTTTTGATATTAATTGTGTCTTATTCATTGTATCTTAAAATTAAAGGTAATTTATTTTTTATATCAGGTTCATTTCGTTCATTTAAACGCAATATATGTTTCCCCTGAAGGAGGACACGTATAAATTTGAAAAATATTTAATTACTTAATTAAAGTAATAAAGTCCAGTTTTCGAGTTTGTTATTTTTTGAAGAAGAAAAGAGTTCACTAAGAACTCACGTGTAAATTGACTTCTGATGCAATTTGGGTTGAAAGTGTCTATCGCTTCGGGGTCGTCCGTGTAAATGATATTAACAATATCGTTGCCGATGTGCCGTTTCCTCTCGAGCTGTTGTGGATTGTCTTTTGAGTACGGAAGCATTGTGCTTACGTGGTACATAACTTCATGTCCTGCGTACACTGTATAATAACTTTCTTTTCCAGTCATGTCACCTGCAATGATACATAAATTAATGGAACATTAAAAGCAATAAAAGAAGGAAAACTGTGAAAAATATTGTCTGAATATATTGATTGAAATGATTTTTAAATAGCAACTTGAAAATGTTTAAATTATTTCAATTGTTGATCAAGAGTGTAAAATGGGATCTCAAGGGGTTGAAACGTCGTGATTAAATAATTTATTATCCTTAAATTTTAACATAATTTTCAAAAAGTACTGTGTTGAAAGAAAGTAAACGCTAAAAAAATTCCTTGCGTTCGAAGATGCTGAATAATATTAGTCTGACATTAAGAGACCTCGTAAAGATCTTTTGTCTCTAAACGAAAGGTGAAAGTTGCTTTATACTTTAGAAATCTCTATTTTTTATTGTATATTTTTATAGCGGAAGTCAAGGAATTTTCAAACTGATAGAAAAGGGGATACCTTTCACGTCCAAGCCACCTCGATACTTGTCCCAATTCTTTAATCGTATCCTTTCGCCGAGGATTTCGAGGAACTTATCGAACTCAGGACTACCCTTTTCTGTAAAGAAATACATGCAGATTTGTTTTCCTCTTCAGCAAACTGTATTTACAGTCAATACTATTTTCTATCTTGTGTTAGTTATTTAAAAAAGTAGTGTTAGCAATTGAAACTGTAAAGCTGAAGCCACACGAGTGATACAATAATTTGATACAATGATTTGATTTGAAATAATGTGATACAGTCGTTGCTAAAAATAATAATCTTTTATACAAAAACGTTTTTATATATTTCAACGTTTATCGAACCATTTTGAAAGTGAAATGCCCCAATTCCAAGATAATGCAGGAAACACGAAGCATCGAGTATTCACACGATTCATTGAGTATTCTTGCTAATTCTGAATTTTTAATTTAAAATTACAATCTTCGTGTACAGTTTGAAAGTACGGCCGTCGAAATTAGCGTTCGCCGGACGTGCTTTTAAACGCTCGTATGTGCTCAGCCTAAATCGATAAAATTTAAATTTTTAATGCATTTACCGTTAGATAACATCTCGTCGTCGGTGGTCTGTCCTTTTTTCGCGTATATTATACCGAACTTGAAATTCACCGAACCTTCTTGTTCTTCTAACAGCAACAAATCCTGTAATATGTAATTATGAAGTCTAACTTTACCTGATTTTCAAACTTATCGATTTCTAGAATGAATTAGACTTTTAAATTGTTTTAAATTTCTTATTTTTACGAGAAGTCCAAAAATGTAATCACCGATTTTAGCTTTTGAACACGGATACTTGTATGTTTACGAACATACTTAAATAAATAATTAAATAATAATAATTTATTGTCTAACAAATTTTTGATTTCATGCACGATGCTCAATAATTACAAGTTTATCTCTTTAATAGGATTTTTCGGTTAAAATTATTATGAACGAAGGGTTGAACTAAATTATGCTAGATCACTCACTTTTTGTATCTCCGGTGCGAAAACCTCGCGCGGAGCTTTGTCAAGCTTGTCTAATCCGAAGAAGTTACTGAAATCCAAATGATTAATCACCAACTACCTACAATTAAATTTAAAGTAATGGATCGATGATATTTACCTTAGGATCTGCCTAATTGTCATCGTCTTGTTCGCGGAGTACGGCAGCGATATCTTCTGTGCACCCTACATTGTGTGCCATAAAAGAAATGATCGTGAAAAAAGAATTTTACGTTTCTTCTAGGGAATTTGAATTCAGCAGGAAAATATTTGAAAACAAAAGGGAGATCTTGTTAATAACATTGCGTTGGTTAACCAGAAATTTCACATATTTTTAATTAAAACCAAATACAATTTGAATGCAATAAAGCAGATCAATTTTATTGTAATTTAAATATTAAGCTTTTTAGTGTTGGACAATGATATATTGTTATTGGCAACATTTGCGAAATGCAATTTGTATTCATTTATTTTCTCTTTATTTCGTAAAATGTTCTTTTTTGAATTTTGTAAATTCTTACTTTCTTAATCCTCTCAAATCTTACGTGATTTTTTTAGTTTCTTTTAGGTTTTCTTCATTTAGGTACAATTTTTTTGATCGGCACTAAAAGAGTTAACCTTTTAACCTACAAGTTTTTTGACAGGTGCGTCAGTCAGAGCTGCCTAATTATTACTGCAACGTTACAGTAAATAAAGAATATTGATATGTTAAATATATTTTGTTTTTAGCTATCTTTAATTATAAAAACTGCAATTGGTATCATACTCAAAACTCGATCTTTATGCAAATACGATTTAGTTTTGTCACATTTGAACTGTGACGTGCGTCACGAATCTGACTCGTAGTTATAAGTCAAGGAATTAGCTTTCATACATAAAAATGTTAATATTAATCTTTTAATTATTATTCCTTCAAAAATAAAAATATTATTGTCACAATATTGTTGTTCTTCAAGTTATATGAATATCATTGTATTTTAGTGGAGAAGATTTGACCGTGTACGACCGCAATGTTTCAAATGCTTGCGGTTTGAAGTTTGTATTCCTTGGTGTGACATAAAAAACTTTTGTTATGATCCTGAATTTTTCACATCATTATAACACCCTTCATTCCTTTTTACTACTTTTTGCTGCTAAAAGCGTTGCGAGTTAGAAAGATTTGGAAACCACTGACTTAAGGTATATAAACGGCTCGTGAGATTTTAATATCGATTATCTCGAATACTGGCCAAAGTTGCCACTTAACCTTATGAACTTGGGGAAGAGTCCACTTGAACTACTATTCTACAAAAGCGCATCAAAATCCCGGAGTCTCTTTCAGTCTCCATTCTTTCTTAGTTTTTGACATAATTTGAAATTTATGAAATTAACATGTTTTTCATTTTTTATTTCACCGCTGTTTAATCACATTTCAATGTTTTTAATGGAACAATAATTTATTCGAGAGAGTTCATATAATAATTGTGTGGTAAAATCTACAGGGTAATTATTATTGTTTAATCATAAAATAGTTTCAGTTCTGAAAATTTGCATTTTGTTCAAAATCAAAATTTTTAAGAACTGGAACTGTTGATTTGAACATTCTTTTTACTAGTTAGTAATAAATATTAGTAATTTATATTAATTCCTTTGTTAGAGGACACGATACTATATTTACACAGCATAATTTTTCAATATTAAATAATTTATTGAGAAAACAAAATCAAATGCAGAAAAAATAGTAGCGGTACTCACAGTTTTTGTCCATAAAATCACTCTGTAATGTGGCACACTTTGATCGCTGACTTCGCTGGTGACAACCGACAGAAACAGAGGATTCCTCTCTTGATCAGCAGCGATGTAATTCTGATGCACTATAGAAAAGTTTTAGTTTAGTTTAGTGTTCTCTGAACTGTAGCCTAGAATCTAAAATTTTTATGAATTACTAATTCCTGCAATCAACGAATTTTTAGTAAATTTAATTTTTTTATAAATTTCTCTAAACAAATTGTTTTTGTGAAAAAAATCTAAAATGTAGTTTAAAGAATATTGTACAATTAATTTTCTGATGTCGGTTTTTTATCACAAAAAAAACTTAGCTTTGTTTTATTTCAGTTTGAAAATGCAAAGTTGAAATGTTCAACTTGATATTTAATGTGGACAACTTTATGTGTGTCAATATTAGGTACTAATATTAGGCATTAATTGACGAAAATTTGTGATTTGATTGATTGATTAATATTTAAAACTGATCTCATAAATTATTAGCTCTTAATAGAACTGATAATAAATAATACAGATATATATATATATACAAATTTACAAATTATCATCAGAATTATTTTCAACGCGTTTATCTTTGATATTTGAATTGTAAATTCTGTTATCATGTATAATTACGTATAATTAGCTTCGAACGAAACTCAAAAATGAATGTCTTCTCCAGAACAATACAAAATATCTCTTTTGATTCGTTTTTGTGCTGAAATTCATTCATTAACATGAATTAAAAAATGTTTCAAATAAGAGATGAGATCGGTTCTTTCAATGATTATTCGACAGTTTTTATATACGTAAAATATATTAAAATTTGTGTGAGTATATTCAGTAAAATCTAAACAATACAAATATCATTTTTAACATTTAACATTACTTAAAGTATTAATTATGGACAAGTTTTAAAAATATAGAGATATGCTGTACTTACATTTTCCGAGGAAGTACTTAAAATACCAACGAGTTTGGTACTCAGGATTTTCCAATATCGGTGTACTTGGTGATCCGAACATCTGCGTTCATTAAAAGCCAATTACAATAAATTATAATTTATTTTTAACGAAAAGTATCTATATTAATTAAATGGGTATTTGACTGTGAAATAATAAGGCAAATATTATAATCCATATATCTCTAATCTGCTAAAAAACGGTGTTTTTAATAAAAGTTATCTAATTTATCAATGAATTATAAATTACAGTAAAATTGTTTAAAAACTAGTTTACCAGTAAAAGATAATGAAACTTATCAAAATGATATAATAATAATTTTAGATTTCATAGCATCGTAATTGATGTCAGGACAAATTTAACAAAGAAGAGCACTAAAAAAATAAACCACAAAAATGAAAGATTTTTAAGACCAGAAAATTCCTATAATACTATTTTCTTTAATCTAACAACCTTATTTAGCATATTGCTTAATCCACTACTGTCGATTATGTTGTACAAAAAAAATATAATAGATCAGCAAAATATTACTGAAAATTATATAGAATTAAAATTGCAATATCTTATGGTTTAAAAAAAATAATGTTTAAATCAAAGACACTTGCTAGGTAAGAACACAAAGAGAAAGAGGCGAAACAGGAAGGTACGAAGGAAGCACTTAAGCAAAGGAAGAGAAAAGAGAAAAAGACATAATTACACGTTTCTTACTTCTTCTTTTTCTCCAGGAGAATCGCCATTTTCGACTCGAAATCTTCGTCCATTGTCATAGCCGTCTTGTTCAATCTGCGGCAACTAAAAGACGATTTAAGACCATGTTAGTGATCCCTCGAATCTGTTGCTACTTCAAAGGCCGTGTTCCAATTTCAAAATGGCGCGTTGTTATGCACGGAAAGTCGAAAAAATGAATGCCATTTCATGACCTCCTTTTCCCCACTCTTCTATAATTAACTTTTATTGTGCCTCATCTTGTCTGTCTCTATTTTTATCAACTATGTAGTTGGTACTGAAAGGGTGAGAACAGTTCTCAAAGTTAGGGTTGTAACTCATATTCGAACACTCTAACGCTGTTTATTGTACAGTGGCATAATTTCAGATCTCGTATTTAATTAACCTTCGTATTCGAACTAAACTTCTCTTGATCGCAAACTTCTCTCCTCTCAAATTATGTAAGGGCATCTCAAGAGTTAAGGAGTATTAATATAATAAGTTAACAAATTAAGGACTGAAATAAGTAATGAATAATTCAATGAAAAAATCGTAGCTCTTGAAATCAGTGTGGACTGTGGCATGAGAATCTTTAAATAATATGCAAAATTAATCTCTTCCCGTGCTTTGACGAGTCCCACTCGTGACGCACTTGCAACTCAAATGTGACAAAATCTTATTGAAATTTTGAATACTCTTCAACTTGAAATTTAGGTTCTACTATAAGTTGCATTATCAAGGATGAATATAAAATAGTTACATTTTAATTTTCTTTGTTCGTTTTAATATTATAGTCCTGAATGGTTAGTCTTGACTGATAAATAAATGGCACGGGAAGGGGTTAATTTAGTTCTGAGTATCGAGCTGGAGTTCTGTTATTGCTGAACTTATTATTAGTATCGAACATTAGCTGTATCTATCACATTTGAAATAAACGTCCATGTATCGTAATTCGTAAAAGAGATGTAATACGCAATGATTTGATTTCGACATGTTACGTTAACATGCTCCAATCACGTGTGTATAGATGAAGCATCAATTGACTGTTGCATCTGACAGAAATCCATTGCATCTTATTATATGTATCAACTTCCATTATTAAATACGCAGTATATCTTTCAATAGGTATGCTTTTAATTATTTCTATATTTTGTATATGTAATGCACTTTTCATACAGAAATATTTTTTTTAACAGGTTCTGTGTCCTGGTTTTGAACAAAATATTTCCTATTGTCCAACAGTATACTTTATGTGTTGCAGTTTGTATTACTGTTTACTTTGCTTTCAGCGGTTTGACAATACATATAAGCAACATAAATAAGGAAAGTTAGAATTAAAGTTAGTAATAATAACACTAAAACCAAGAGCGATAAAGTACAGAATTGTTTGTTTGGAAAATAAGGATTTATTGGTCAAAGTGCTGAACATGAGTCTTGCTATCTTCAAATGAATCTTGATGTTCGAGTATTCTAACAATTGTACTGTGATTGCTGTAAGAATTTACAGTACTAAAGTAATTTAAATGTTGTAGTTCCAAGTTTCATCAATAATTTTTAGTATAACCACTAATAAATGCCATATTATTTCAAAAAAGCGTAGCAAAGTTTAATGATAGTTGAAATTAGTATCATGATATTATTGCTTACTTTATTCCTTCATTTTAAATTTTAACACTAAACCTACTGGCCTATAATATGTAATTTATAATAAGGATCTTGTAAAACAGTCATTTGACCTGTTTAGTAGTTTTAGTGCTAATAATATTCACTTATTATTTAATGCAATCTAAAAAAATTATATCATCACTTTTTCTTATTTATTTCCACAAAACTTCAAATACCAGATAAAATGTTTCTGTACAAATGTATGCTTTCAAATTTAATAATTCTTGTAAACCCATTGTTTCTACCGACAATTACAAAATTAATTAAAAATATCCGTTTCCTTAAGAGGAAAGACATTTTACCTCGAAGACGTATAATGAGTAATTTTGTTATAACCGTTCTAAACTCTTCTTAATTAAAAGCGAAACACGACAGGGGTATTAATATTATTCCGAAGTGTACTTACCATTTCAACGCTGCCATAGTATCGTCTTGAAAGGACTCCTCTCCTCGAAATTGTATCCGTCGTAGACCTGCAACAATTATACACGCTCAAGGATTGTTAAGAAACTTGCTTTGCAAATTCGCATTGTATTATATATTGACAAAAAGCATGAGCAACAGAAATGAAAGAACATGTACAATCTTTTCGCAAAAAAAACTAGCAATAAATAGAATTTATAAAAAAGTAAGCAAAATTTTTTAGTTTACGTGGTTCATAAAAATAATTTACATTCTGTAGTAAATGCTATGTAAAAATAAATTACTAATAGAAGCAACAGATATATCTTCATCGAAAAGTGCAAATAAGTAAGGCTTTACCATGTTTAAAAAGCTACTTTTTGTTCATAAAAATGGTGTGTTAATAAAGTTAATTACAGTGAATATGCAAGAAAATGTTACCACAATTGTAACTACAATTTATCATTTTTGCAAGCAATAACCTTTGATATATTTTGTCCATAAATAAACAAAAAGTTTTCTTTTTAATTTTGACACTTTTCTGATACTAGCGATTTTGCAGTAGAATTAAATATTGAAACAAAAAATACATAGAACAGCGAGATTTGAACTGAGAACTTTTAATTTACAGATAAAATTGCAGATAACCATTCATATATGTCAATATGTTACACTACAGAATGTATAAAGAAGAATTAACTTTAATTTTTAATATCTCTTAAACAATTTTCTGTCTTTAAAAAAGGGTATCAGTACGTTCAACTGGATGAGCACTATAAAGTGTCAAAGTGTCATTAATAAATGATTGGAGTCATTAATTATACCAGAAGAGTTCACCTCATTAATTTCATTCGAATCATGCCCAATATCGATTTTCATGACTCTTCAATTCTCCTCATTGTTTCTAGTATACTAATATACAACTTCATAAATAATACTCCACATGAATTTCCAAGCAGTTAATTTACGAATAAATCATCGTTCAAAAAAAGAGGTGATAAAGTTGCAACTGAGTTACAGGTCCGCTGTTACAGGTATAGTCATACCGTTACCTTCAACCATATTTTACACAACATCATTTCTGAGAAACCTGATACATCTTTCATTCTGTACAATGTGTAAAACCGTGCTACGAAGCAATTTTTCACGCTGTAAGAAGACTATTTTTAACATTCTTCATAACCAAACTTCTGACAGACTTCTTTATTTTTCAAGGTCTTAGATTTTCTTGTTTATGGGTCATTCCATGCTAAATCGATCACTTTTGGACCTCACCATCTGCGATTTTGTTCTAATGAAAGTATGTTGTAGTCCACGTGAAATTAGGGGGAGTTTAAGTCATCATTTTGCTGGTTTTATATTTGTTAAGGAATAACAAGCCTTCAAAGTTTGCAATTTTTGCCCATTTTTGCGAAAATAGGCTTCACTTACGAATTTTTTTCTCAGAAACTAGTCAACCGATTTAGCTAAATTTTTTTTTGTTTTATTCACAAAGGATTAGGCTATTGTTAAATATTTTTTGTGTGTTTTTTTCAATGAGGGGCGCAAAGGGTTTAAATTTAAAGAAAAGTTGGTCATATTTCTTGAAGCTTCCCCTTTAAAATGAGCCCTTCAGAATAGTGGAGCCACGAATTGGAAGAATTAAGAAAAATATTTAAAAGTAGCCCAATCCTTCACGAATAAAACAAAAAAATATTTAGCTAAATCGGTTCAGTAGTTTCTGAGAAAAAAATTCGTAAGTGAAACCTACTTTCGCAAAAATGGGCAAAAATTGCAAACTTTGAAGGCTTGTTATTCCTTAACAAATTCGAAACATATTCCGATTGGAGCAAAATCGCAGATGGTGAAATCCAAAAGCGATTTGGTGTCCCTTATGAAAGATACCTGACTTTTCTAAAATAAACGCAATGTAGCATCATTGCTAAGAAAAAAGCGAAAGCAGTAGCGATTGAAAACAGCCAAAAACGTACACATGGTGGCTGGCCCGTCGTTGCAGATGTTTTTGGTGCAAAGCTGACAAAGCAGACACGCAAACCGATCTCGATCTGTTTCGGCGTATCATTTCGTGACCGATTGGCAACGTTTCCTCTTCGCTGTCGCTTTCTGTCACCGAACTCGCGTCTCCGGTGCTCACTCTTCTTCCTTTGCCGTGTTTGCATTTCTCCACAAAGGTAGTCGTCGATGAGGTCGAGGTCGCTGACGAGGGTGCTGCCGTTGACACGTTCGTCCCACTCGTCAACGAGACTCCTCGTAAACGCGAGACCAGTTTTATGTCCAAGCACAACATCTTCGTGCAGTCACCGGTTTAAATACTGTTTCTCTGCCCTTTCGGGTCGATTCGATACACCTAATGAATATTCTTCAACCCTGAAGTTCGGCTGGCCTTCAAACGCGTTTACAGTCGTTTGAACCGATGAGTCACTAGCTCGTGCAATTTAGTGTGTTCGAGAGTTAGTATCGCGAGGATTTGGGTGGATATAGTCGAAAAAATGTAATTTGATCGTAAATCTCGTTGACCGGTAAAGAACGTGTTATGTTCACGTTCGATACTTTTGGTGTACGTACTCGGAGCTTGAAATTGAACTTTAAGATATTGTTCAGAGTTTAATGTTTTGGTTCCTTTGTTGAAACTAGTTTGGGTAAAATTGTATTATACTTTATATTTTAGGAGGTGATACCTGGTTATTAGTATTTTGGATGACAAATTCGTATACTGAATTCTCAATAAATCTGAGAGTTAGATTATGAGAAAAATAGTATTTATTGGTATTAGTTAAGCAACTTAAATATCCTCACATATGGGTAGTTTATTTTGAAAGTGGTCCATTTACATTTATTTTGAGAAAATTAAAGATTAGCATGTCAATGAAAAAATATTGGTTAATCAAGGCTAGCAATTCAGCAATTTTACTGATTGATCTATATGTAATTTGATTATACAAATTTATTTTAGGTGATTTAACTAAAATAATGTATATTCATGTAAATGGACTTACACTTTCAAAATAAACGGTTCTTATATTAACTTTAGCCTAATGACATATTTTTTAGTTTTTATAAACGAGAGCTGGCTTTTCTTGAAAATTCGCAATTTTACTTTTCAAATTTATTTTGTAATAATATTTCAGCATTAAGTAAACATGTTTTAAAATAATAGATTGAAAAGAAAATTGCACTCTTTTTCTTGGAAAACACAAAATTTAGTTGATAGCAATCCCTAATATAAAAAATCTCAGATTACTTACCCATAAGGGTGAATAAATGGACAGAGCCCTATGGAGAAATAAAAAAAGTATTTTTGATCAAATAAGCACGATCAAGTGCTTGTGAGAAAAATAAACCAGTTCCCATAGGGATAATATTTTTGGGGAAGAGGTAACCCATAAGAATTAATTTTTAAATAACGTAAGAGGCAGTTGAGAGTATTTGTATGCTTGCTTGTACAGACCAACCAAACTATGGATGGAAGCCAATATGGTATTGACCTAACTCGAGAAGTACACTCGAGTACAGTGTAGGCTTCTTTTGTATAAGAAAACATATGCAAACTTCATTACTTCAGAATTCCTACATTGCTAAATTTTTGTTTTTACAAATTTGTAAATTTGCGAAGCAATGAATTCATAAATCTTCAAATTATTAATTTCCAACATTTCCATATATCAAAATTCACAGATTTCTTCATCTCCACATACCTAGATCCACAAGTCTCAAGGTTCCAAAATCTTTAGGCCTCTAAATTCTTAGATCTACAAATTCCTACGTTTCTAAATTTCTAGATCTACAAATTTTTAAATTTCCAAGTTTCTATATTTGCAAATTTGTAAGTTCATAAATTTCTGTATCTCCGAATTTGTAATTTTTCTAAATTTCTAGGTCCTTACATTTTTAAGTTTCTAAATTTCCAGATCCCCAAATTTGTAAGTTTCCAAATTTCCAGATCTCCAAATTTTGAAGTTTTCAAATTTCTAGATCCTCACATTTCTAAATTTTGCTATTTCTGGATTCCCGAATCTTTGCACCACCAAATCACTATATTGTCATAACCATAAACCCCCCAAATCTCAGAGTCTCCAAATACTCGCGTCCTCAAATCCCATAGTCCCTAAACACCTTACGTAATAAATATCAATAACAACCCAATACGATATTAATAATGAATTTTCTACATCAAATATATCCACTATTTTGTCCACTTCCATTAGAATTTTATGAAAAAAGTAATATCTCATAACTGGTTTAATCTAAAGAGACTCTGGAATCAATATCTTCCTTAAATCTGAAGCTACCTTTCTTTCTAAAGTTAGTTGTAGCTCATTCCTACAAAAAAATGCAAAATTATACAGAAAATTTTAATTACGTAACAAAAATAGATTTCCATAACATTTTTCACTGAATTGCTTTTAAATATGTTGCAGAACTCTTGCACATTAAATATGTGATGCATAGTTGAATGTCAACAACAATTGAATAAAATCAGATGTAATATGTTTTTAAGCTATTTCCTGACTATAATGCACGAAATTTTCCCATTATTTATCGAAGCTATGTTGTACAGTGTAAAACGCTATACTGAACAGCATTATTGTATATGCATCATCGACCGATAGCGAGTCTCCTAAATTCCTTTTCCTGTACACTTGTTTGGCAAGCAACGTGTGCGATCCTTTGACCTCTTCCTGACCGCATTAACCCGGAGGTTAACAGCGTCGACAATGTTCTACGGTATTGGTGGCGTCAATAATAAACTTCCATTATTCAAACCTTTTGAACATCCTGGTTAACGGACATCGATATCGTTGACCGAATTTTCTTGTTCCGGGGGTCTGCAACCCTTTGCAACAACAAGGGATATGGAAGCGGAATCAATGACACTGGCGGAAGAACGACGACACGAAAATTAAAAACAAAACTGTGTGAGTGATCGCTACATGCTTTGCAAACTTCTGCATTACATAGAAACTACTACTTCTGTACATGGAAACGTAATACCGATACAGGTAAAATCGAATTAGAACTTCTGTCAAGTCTGTTCAATTTTTGATGTGTTGTTCTTGTGAAGATGAATATATCTTTAATATAGTTTATTATACTAATATAGTTTAACCCTCTGCGATCGTATTAAATTTGGTCATGGGTGTCGTCCAGACGGAATTAATTTCCCTTAAACGAGCAGCAATAACATAGTAAGATGATAAAGGATAAACAAGATTTATTAATTCTTTTGTGAATTTACCATCAATATAATCGATAAAATTGCTCAGTTTTTGCATTCACGTCGTTACATTTGCATTTCTGAAAACATTTTCATTCAAATGTAACATCCAAAATATTTGGAGAAATCCTTCCTTTCGAAATGTATTTTTAAAAAGTGGTATGTTAGCACATGTTCCATAGTCCAATAATATTTTATATTAGGATCTGGTATAGTACCCATGTTAAAGATTACATCCAAGAAAGCTGTTGACTCTTCTTTCGTCACATCGATCCAGTTATTCCACGTTGATCGATCAGATAAGCTCTGCTGCACTATTTTATTCTTGGCATATTTATTTGATTCCGATGCAATTGTTTCAAGTAGTGTATCTGTGAAAAGGAGTCTGAAAAAGTGGATAGGTTCGGTGCAATGATTAGGTACATTAGGCCCAACAATCTTAGATCCCGTCGAAAAGTTGGTTTTTGATTGTGATTGAATAAAGTATAAGATTAGTATGGTTCTTTGCTGAGGTGGCTGAGAGCAGACGTACGAACGCAAAGGGTTAAGGGGTGAGAAACACTTAATACAAGAGGTCTACATGGACAAAGGTAAAAGTGATACAAGTTGCACTCGATAATATGTTTAACAGATTATGTTTTCTTAGTTATTGTTAATTAACGATCGATGGAATTGCGAAACTATTTTGTCCCGTGTTTTGATGCTCGGAAATAGGATTCCCAGCCTATCCTATAAGATTCCTACTTTGTGTAACAAGCCTTTGATTTGGTCCACATTTCAATGGAACCTTGGAAAATCTCGGTTTACTAGAAACTGTCGGAAAATGTAGTTCATCTCATGTTGATCAAAGGTTCCTATGGCAACTCGATTCATTGAGCTATATTAGCTTTAGGGGTCTTGAAAGTCGAGAAACTGTCATTATTACTAAAATCAGAACACACGTATCTCGAAGTCCAAAAATAAATCTCGAGTAACAGAAATTTAAACATCGGAGGAAAATGGGTTTATTCTCTTTAATCGATATGTCGATGTTGATCAAATCTATTTGATGCTGATGCAGTTCCCACCGCAAACATATAGCATTCTTACATTCAAAAGTCAAAATTAGAATATTTAAAATCACTTCTTGAAATTTTTATTACACGAAAAAAATTATATAGAGAAAAAGATTTGAAGAAATTATTGAATATTTTGGTGAGTTGACGGATTTTTAGCAGACACGTTTTCTGCAAAATCACATGACTTTTGAAAATACGACCTAAATAGTGTTCAGCATAGTTTCTAATCTAGAATTTCAGTTCCGTTAGTGTTTTCTCGTAACAAATAGCTGTAGTCGCAAATTTTCAAATTTCTAGACTTTCAAGTGTTGCACGAGAAAACTTTTTCTATACTGTCAATTGCAAATAGTAATTGTATTATTTATAACAAGTATACTTATTAGTATTTATCACAGATCTAAAGTTGATGTAAGAAGCTCTAAATGCTATTTCATATTTACTATCTCGTGAATGTTTTGTAACATTCGTATTCTTAGAATGTAGCAATTAACGTTGAACTGTATTGGTATCAATTACAAGAAAAAATTGTGAAATTAAACAATTATTTGCTGTAGATTGAAAGAGTCTTATTACAATCTTGCAATACAAGACCACCCGTGATGATAAGTGCAGAAAGAAGATGGCTACGGTATAATGGAAATTGCTACCTCAGATTTTCATTTACTTAAATTGCTATAATCATAATTTAGGTTAGGAGAAAATTGAACGAGGGTAAATAACAATGGAATCTTGTTTTATAAATGAATTCGAAGATTTTTATAAAAATAGAAAAGCATTCCGGATTGTGTATAACAATTAGACTATATTAGTCTAATATTAGACTATATTAGAATATTTATGTGATAGACATTTTTCTATAAAGAAATTTTGATTTGTAAAATATTTCTTCACTAGCACAATTAACAATACATGTAATTGTCCTTTAAAAAAGCACATGTCAAAAATTATTAAAAATTTTATAGTAACATAATACTGTAAAAGTATTACAGTAAATGAAAATTTGGATTATTTTAT